CCCCAAAACCCCAAAACCCCAAAACCCCATATAAGGACGGAGGCCTTGGTATATATAAATAATAAAAATGATTAATTTTCCTATTTTCGATGAAAATTTGAGCGAAGAGTTTGTTGATGAAAATGTATCTGCCTCTTCAGTAAACACCTCTCCAAATTTGGAGAAGAATATGACTGGAAGCCAATTCCATATTAGTAATAAAATGACTCTCAAGCTCAAAGCTCAATCATGATTAAAAGCCAATACTAGGAGTTTGCTTCCATCTATGAAAGATGCTGTCCTAGGACCTAAGAAGTGTCCTATTTTCAAAAAGTATAACAGACCAAGGAGGATAACCAAGAAAAAGACTGAAGCAAAAGGATCACCTCAACAGGCAACTAAAGTCGAAAATTTATTCAAGAGTGTTTCTGAGTTGAAAGGTTATGTGAGAAAATCAAATGTTTGAACCCAAGATTTCTCCAATAACTTCAAAAGGGCAGTGACCATGAGCGATATCAATGCTCCTGGCTGCTTTGAAGCATAACTTTATTGTTCTTAATAATTCTCTAAAACCTTTGTGTTGATCAATAACTTTTAACATTTTGGGCAATTTTAGTCAACAAATAGTTATTTACATTTTTAATAGAATAGGGCTTAATTGGCGAATTATTAAAAAGAAGTTCATAATAACTCTATACATGGATTAAAAGAAAGGGTCTTCGGTTGAATATTGTTTTCAGCAAGCCCAGCTTTATGCAGAGTGCATTTGACTTGCATTAACTTTATACCTTCACCATCGTGAAATCTGAGAATACAAGGTATTGGAAATTCATCTTGGTGAAATTGAACAACTATTAAACAGAATAATACCTGAATAAATAATAATATTATGCTTTGTTTATATTCGCAGTGAGTTTACCATCCGACCTATTGGATTGCTCATTCTATAAAATATTTTAAACCCAATTCTTTTACCTTCACCTCAGCAGTATTATGAAAAATTCATGAACATAGCTATCTCCAGCTTTGCGGTAACCAATAGCTTCGAGAGAGAACTTGGGTGGGCCACTTTCTACACTATCGGTTCAAGCATAGCATTAAGCCATCTAAATGCCAAGTTAGAACAGGTTATTCTGTTATTCAGAATTAAGGTTTACATGGGGCTTCTTTCTAGTCTTGATATTGGTATTATTAAAAGCAAAGAAATGAGTCAACTGACTGTTTTTATACAATTGTTTTCGCGTTATGAATGAAAATTTCAGAAAAGTTTCAGTTTTAAGGTGGATTATGGACTACAGTTGTGGATAATTGGAAGTTTCGAAGTTTTGAAGTCTTAAGATGAATTTTATTTTTGGTATGGATATTAAAGTATGATGCTCTTGTATTTGTATTAAAAACTTAAGGTTTATGCAAGTTTTTGATATCAGGAAAGCTTTCATTTCAATATTATTGAGTTTTAAAATAATTGGATTATCAACTCCGGCTCAAGCTCCTTGGTTTTGAGCTTACCTAAAGTCAAAATAGTCGTTCTCAGAGCCTATATCGCAGGAATAGTGCCAGGGTCTATGAGTTCTGAATTATCAACGCAGCATCTCACAGAAATTTTCAAGAGTTTGTAAGCTCAAGTATTCTTAGAAACTAAATATGTCTCCAAAATACTATGAGAGGCCTAAAAACATTCTAAGATCCTTAGGAATAAGAAACATTGTTATTTTTATAAACTCTAAATAACTAGAATAAATTTTTGCAAGAGCTTATAATACCATTTTATATAATATCAACTTTATTATTGAACCAAGGGGTTTTGGGGTTTTGGGGTTTTGGGGTTTTGGGG